AGCGATGAAAAACATAATTTTTGTGAAGAAGAGCACAATTCTAATGTAGACATACTACTGCCGAACTATAAGTATGAGTTGTGTGAATTCCTAACCTCTTTGGAAGACCAGCATAGGGATCTTTAGCCTTTGGTTCCTTTGGCAAATCATCATCATCATCGTCGTCCTGTTCTTTCTTTGGTTTTTCTTTCTTCTCTTGTTTTGGTTTTTTTTCTTGCTTAGGTTTCTCCTCTTTGGCTGCTTTTCCTTTCTTCTCCTTCTTCTCATCTGTCTTTGGATGCAATTCAGCAAATTTCTTTGCTAAGGAGATATATGGAACACGTAAAATGAGCTTAGTAAATATACATATTTATTTTAATTTCTTCAGTTGGTGATTTCCCAGGCTAGACTGAATCTCAGTAATCTCTCTGAAATTTGAAAATAGGTGATCTGAGATGGTATTTGAATTTTCAAGAGCTAAGCATATCATCCTAAAGCCCGTATTGACTTTTGTAAACCTGTTCCTAAGCACTTTCTCACGACCATCAGCAAAACCTCATTCTGTACATGGTCACCAGGCTGCTTTCACTGTATGACCCATAATCAAAATATCACTCACAGCGTAAAGAGGTCACTCATCTGGCCCATACAACCTTTCAGTTTGCCCCTTGGCTTTTATAACTAACACTTTGTGGGTGTAGTGATTGATCTTAATCTGGAATAAAAATGGTTCTTTACCATTTACCCCAAAATTCCAGAAATGTCGGTCAGAATGTAAAAGAAAAGGCAATTTTGGAAATAAACAGCACTTCTTGAAAGGTACATGTAGTCCAAAATTCTCATTCAAAATTTTAGAGTGCAAAATGTGCTTACCATTTGCAATTCCTCACCACCATCTTGGAATTAAGATCAGGTTGAGCTTGTCCTAGCATAGCACTTACTGAACTTAAAAAAATTCCTCAATCTCTGTTTATATTATTAATGTCCACTATTTAACAAAGTTAATAGAAGGGAATGGTTATGAAGCCCAGTGGCTTCAAAGGAACAAACAAAGATGGCAAGATTTATGTTGGATGGTCTGGTGCACAATATTTTGTTTTGCCTTTTGCCTGTACTGTATTAACTATGTCATAACCAAAACGTTTTCTTTTGATTAGTTCCTCGGTCAGAAGAAAACAACCATCGTGTTTTGTGCATGGTCAAGCACATCTAACAAAGAGTTTTGTCAGACTTCACAACCATTCCCCTCTATTACGATGTTTATACTGTAATATCATCGACTTACCATCAAATTTGGCCATGGTTTCACACAGCTTTACTTCACCCAATACCTTTTTAAACTGCGGCTGGTTCACAGTGGTGAGGAACCACCTGTTTACATTACCAAATTGAGCTCTGAAGCTGGGATCCATCACCTGAAAACATATCACAAATTAAATTTAGATATTTGCAACTTAGACATTCAAACAGAAACATTGAAAACAATAAGGTTTAATTA